GAGCAATAAATAACCCCCCAGAAAAATATGAAGGAGTTATGAGGGTCTGCGGACGGTGGTGAGGCCCACAGCTCCTTCATGGTTCCCTCTTCTCCCCCTCCTTCCGTCCCTGTGCTCTTCTTCTTTCAGTGACTGAAGATTAGGTCCTCTTGATTCCTTCTGCATCTCTAGTTTCAGGGCTTTCTTTTGCCCATGACATAGAGTACAGCTTTAGGATATGTGATCCAGTGTGTAGCAGGCACCCTGCTTCTCCTGTAGCCTACAAGGATTGTGGGACATTTATCTTTTTTCATGAATTGGCCCTTGAGCTCTCAGGAGCCCTTAATGGAGAACAATATCTCACTTTTTTTGATATTCGTAGATATTTTTATATTTTTTATCTTTGCAAAGCTGTCTAAAAAAATACAATTTAATATATATATATATATATAATTTTTTTTTAATACTATTAATTATATGAGTTATTATTTCTATATTTAATAAAATGTCTATACCTAATAATGTAGCATGTTATCTAATAATAAAATAAAAATGGTGTATTTTACTTGTTAAAAATTTTATATTTTAAAGTATTTTATACATTTTTTTTTAAAGAATTTCATTTATTTATGTATTTATTTATTTATTTACATTTTGGCAAATTAGTGTACATCTCATTCATGCATTTTCATATGGTCTCTTTACACCCTATTGACAGTTAAGTTTAGGGGTACCTTCATGTTTGCATTTTCCCCCCCCAAAGATCATATGTTTCCATACAAATCACATTGTACAAATTCATATGAAATCCCCAACTTGTAGAATAGTTACATTTTCTCATGAGGCTGCGTTGGCTACACCCTAACTTAACCAGTCTCTACACATCTTGTGTTTACCAAAAACACATAAAATAACAGTTAACTTTATTGAATGAACTCTTTTTATCCAGTTGCACAGCTGGGAACTCTCAGAAATGCTTGGCTTAGCTTTTGTGCAATTTCAGCATTTGTTGTTTTTAGCCATTTCAGCTGAAATTAAGTGAAATAGAAGCAGGACTGTAATGAGTATGTCTACTTTCAAACTAGTTAGGGTTACTCAAATTCGAGCCTATTCAACACATTAGCATTTACAGTGTACTGAAGTGCCTGTGGAAAAATAGATGAGTCTGATGTCAAGGGTAACTAGGTGGAATGTCAAACTCCATGATATAATCCAACAGCAATATATCTTCTCCATAAAATCTGATGCTTGCCAGGCCAGTTCTGACAGTTCATTTCAATAAAGACGTCCAAACCTGTGTGGAAGCGTAAGAGCCAAAATAAAATGGTGCCATTTTCTAGGGGATGTTTACCCTTTACACTTCCTGGCCTCACACACTCCAGGCATTATCCACAGAGGCTCTGTGTATAGACAAGTGTTCAAATACTTCCCTTGATCAGCAGATAGAGAGAAAGAGAAAACACACACACAGATAAGCCATTGTGCTCTCTTCCGGAGCGCTAGGCTGAAGGCTAAGCGGTTGAACATTAACTATGAACTGCTGAACGGTTAGTATAACTCAACTACAACAAGTCTTTACATCATGCTTATGTCTGTGAGAAGATATACAAGATTAAATATTCTGTAACAAGAATATGTAAAAATTGGTTTTGCAAATAATGTTCATTAGA